AAAAAAAGTGACTTTATTCATAAACAACAACTAATTAAAATTCTGGGTGTTTAAGCTGCAAACCAACTGTGTGTGAGAGAAGAAAGAGTAGAAAGAGGAAGGAGGATGATTTTTTGAGATAAATTCAAGGCAAAAAGCAAGAAAACTGGAAAAGGAAAGACTTACTTGTATTTGCTGAGCTCTGGGGAATACTTGGCTTTAGCCTTAAACATCACCTGAACAAAGAAAAGCATAAAAATATCATCACACACACACACACACACACAGCGGTGGACATATAACACATATTTTCATGATACTTTAATGAGATATATTATCGGAGATTTAATACATCCACGAAAAACATGAAGATAAGATAGAATAAAATGGAAGAGCAAAGGGGGTTAGGGTTTCTTTTAGGATAAAGGTGTGAACTTGACAGAGCCAGAGGAGATTCCTGTGTGACATTGAAGTGCACAAACAGACATGCAGACACGAGGGCTGCACAATTAATTGAATATTATTGAAATCTAAATATGGCCAAGTGCAATAATGTGTGACAAAAAAACAATAAAAATGAAGTACTGTAGATGTCCTGGTCTACAAATCTTGTATCTTCAGATGTAATAAAACATGTTTGTTTGGTACAGACCCCCAAAAGATTTCATGATTTAAATTTTTTAATTAGTTTTATTCAGTAGAAATTCAAATTGTGATGCAAAAATTACCATTCCCTTTAATTGTGAATCATATCACATGTTTTTACCATATTGTGCAACCCTAGCAGACACACTTCATACTTAAAATTATACATAAAATTGACACAAACAATGCTCTATGCTTTGCAATTAGTAGCTCTAAATGGCTAATAATACACTTGTATCAAGTAAGAATAGAATTAGCCTCCATCACAATGTAGGTTCACCTTCCTATACGAGGTGTTTTATTCAATATGCTGTTGGCTCCTTAGATAAAATGTAAATTGGCCTGTTACAGGCTGTGGATGTGACCACTGATGGTTTTTAGTAACAAATGACAAAATCTCTATCATCTAATGTTCTGCATTGTCATTGTGCCAATCCTTATACGAGATAAGGAGGAGACATTAGCCAGAAGCTAATGAATGCTGCACTCAGACTTACATTATGCAAATGATACGGCAGTAAGAGCACATACTTTATGCTAATTCAAATGAAATGTTTTGGCTCTATGTAAATCAGGAATGCACCAATAACCACTTTATTCAGACCAAATATAAGTACAAATACCGGGTACCAATGTAAGTACGTAATAATAACATTACAGTTCTAATAATGAAGTTTTATTCTCATTAGATGTTCCTCAGTTTGACTGTAACAAATTAAATGTAGTAGTAGTTGTATGATTACAATTACAAGCACAGTATCAGAGCTGATACCTGATACTGGTAAGAGGTACATCCTTAATGCAAATGGACAAACAAACAACCAACAGCTGTATTTTTTGACTTGTTTCAGCCTCGTTTCATCAGAAAGGAGTGAAACATAAAGATTTCCATCAACAGAAAATCCACAAAGAACCTCTCTTGTACTTGTGTTGCCTGTTTGGTATTAAATAGCTCCAATAAACACAACAAACAAACCAAACAAAACTACATATTAGCTGTTTTGCTGCCAACATGTTATCAGTAGCGACCTTAACAAATATAATATTAAACTGTACACAAGTCCAGTTTACAAAAGCTGGAACACTGGCCTCCATTGATCCAATTCACTCCCTTCCTGGAATGACTTTTTGCTTTTGAAAAATGTTTATCAAAATCTAATTCACTCAGTTACCAAGAAACACGCAGACATAAACAATACTATCACCGATCGGCCCGGTCAGATTCTCCTATCTGATTCACGGTGAATCGTTTGATATTAATACGAAAAGGGCCGCGGCCACAGAGGTCTTGGAAATTGCTCAACAGTGAATTTAAACACACAAACCCACAGTCACACACATAAACACTCAGCATTTTGTGTGAGAATGTAGGCCAGTAGGAGGTAATTTGTAACCTAGAAATGAAGCAACCAGCTAACAGACCACTGCCAGATTACATGTACACTATAAATATGTGTGTGTGCCTCAGAAATCTGTAAGAAAATGCAGCAAAATCGACATTTTCTCATCTAATAGCAGATTTACCAGTAATAACCCTGTTTTTTTATCTGATTATAACCATCATCATTGTCCCTAGTAGGAAAGAGCTCAGATGTAATAAGGGGGAAGTAAATCACAGGTCAGCACTAACGCCTGACTCATCAGAAAACTACACACAAGTATTTCCACACATGTATGTGTGTGTCAGGTGACAGCGCCGTGTCACAGTGGCATGATGTTATATCAGCGCTCTGCTCACGTACTCTCAGTGAGTTCAGCATTAAACAGTTCGCTAGTACGGCGAGAAAAGCAGGTACTGTGTTGTGACACCGGCTGAACAGATTATTGATCACACTGAGACGCGACTTTGCTAAAAGACAGATTGTATGTGCTCGTGTTCAGGCAGACTCGCAAACTCTGGGGTTTTATATGTGTATATGAAGCTACTGGTCATATTTGTCATTAAATCAATTAGCTGACCTACAGACAATTAATCAGCAACTACTGTAATATTCTTCAAGGAAAATGCAGAATATTCTCTTGTTCTGGCTTCATAAATATGAAGATTTGATGCATTGCTTTCTCATATATGGTCGTAAACTATTAATATCCTTATTGTTTAGGCTGCTGGTCACATTCAATCAATGATAAAAATATCATATATTAGCCTAAGTATAGTTAAGACAGTGGTTCCAAACCTTTTTGGCTTGTGTCCCCTTTAAACTGATCAACGTTGTGACATCCACAGGTTTAATAGTCATGAACAACTCAACCTAAGTGATATTCCCTTCTCAATGTGTTTTATTTTGGAGTTTTTGGAGATATCTTTTTATAGAATAAATCTTCTAGATCTTCTATCTCGTTCAGCAGCTTATGAACCCCCAGATTGGGAATCATAGGAGAGTGGATTCGTTCAGTTACAGGAGCACAAATGGTACGAATGTTTTATATAACTGTCACATGAACACAAACAATAACCACAATTTTGCAATAAGCTGACCAGCGAAATCTTGTTTACAAACATCCCACAATTGATTTTGCAGGGTTATAGTCTGTTTTAGATTAAAAAAAAGAATTATGGTGTGAATTTGTTAGCAAATAAAGGCTCCTTTCCACATCCAGCAGATACAGAGGAACTCAAAGGTTCATTTTGAGTCCTGTTTGTGTTCACGTGATGCATACAAATCCAATATTCTCTCTTCTTTTAGCTCTATTTTTGCTTTCTACCAACTCCTGAGAAAAATATGTTTCCACCATGTTCACCAGCTGGCAGCTAACTTTGCCTGTCGTCTGCTGGAACCAAAACAGTAAAGTTGTGGGCCCAAAAACTAAAAACATTGAGCTAAAAGATGCCCAGGATGTCATTTATTTTTATTTCTAAGACTTTAAAAGCAGTTTGTAACACTCCTCATGATTAAGAAAGCAACAGGCGACATTGTGTAACGCATTAGACCCTGCACTGTTTACCAGACAGGGCCCAGTCAGGAACAACAGCACTGCAGCAGGAAGTTTCTACTGTGGGAAGAAAATATGAATCTGATACATTATTCACGTCTGACCCGGCTAGACGTGAAACCACAAGCAGGAAAAGTTTGTTCACTGAGCCGACCAGTCACATGGTTTCCCCACACACAGATAGAGATACATATTTTTAAACCTATAATGACAGGTTTAGCAGATATAGAGGAACACCATTTTGCAACCCTCAAACACGTGATGGCAGTTTTTTTTTTGCTGCTTTAATGCAAAGAGAAAAAGAAGATGTTTATTTTATTGAAAGGGAGTGAAGTTTGTGTGCTTTGACTGGCCACAGATCAGCTAATGGGCTTCAATGTTTATTCAGCAGTCATATGACTCCACTGGCTTCATTACCTAATCTCCACTCAGCCAGTTGGACGAGCTTCCTTTCTCCTCACACCCCCACATGAGGTTGAGATACCTTGTTTTCCTTTGAAGGCAGTGATTGAACTGTGCTGGTGTTTCCAACTAAAAGTCACTAAAAGTGTGTAGGTGTTTTTTTTTCTTCTGAGAGAGAAACAAGCAGGTCTTTGACATTTGGAGTGGGCAGGTGTTGAACAACTGTGACTGACCAACTGTGTCCCTCTCCTGATAACACGCCGCTTGACGGGAACATTTCCCTGTTGGGCAGAGTCTCGTCTACTTATTGAATAAAACACATCAATGGAGGCTGGGCAACACAGGCTTTTAGTGGGAGATCTTAACATCTGTCACCCCGGGACACGAGCCGAGTCAATTTGCAGAGCTTTCAAACCTAAAAAGAAAAACCAGCTTGAAGTCGGTCACCCTCCCTACTATGGAACATGTAGGCTGATGGTGACCACATTTGCAGAGGAAGAAACGCCGGCTATTACAGAACCCTACAAGCAAAAACTGGAGTTTTAAGTTACTTTGCAAGGGACACAGACGAGTATTGACAGTGACACACTGGCCACCCACAGTGCTGCATTTTGACTGTCTTAAAACTTGGTTAACATAAAGGCTGCAACTCCTGATTATCTCCATTATTGATTAATCTTTTAGACAGATAATTTGCTCACCACAATATCCCAAAGCCAAAAGTGATGTCTTCACATTGCTTCTCTTTTCCAAAACCCCCAATGTGTCTTTATTAACGTATCATAAATGACAAAGAAAAGCAGAGAATCCTCCCATTTTAGAAGCTGGAACCAGAAAAATGTTTGACATTTATGCTTAAAAGAAATGACTGAAACGATGACTCAGTTCTAACAATGGTTGGCAATGACTTTGCTCTCAATCCACTAATAGTTGCAGCTCTCCTTAACATTTTAGGAAATGTGCCTATTTGGCTTCTCACTGAGGGTTAGATAAGAAGATTGAAACCACTCTAATGTCTGCCCATTTAGTATGAAGCTAGAGCCAGGAGATTCAAGACTGCAAACAGGGAGAATATTCATTTGATATTTAATATTAACCAGCTAATCAGTTCAGCTCTAATTTTATCCAACATATCTGGCAAATAGAAGCACAGTCAAAGCCTCATGGGAGATGTAGTTTCTGCTCCTTTATCTTTGCTAAAATGACAACTGACGTGTGTTTACTGCAAATTTGATGTGACAAAGACGAATCGTGCACTTTTAACTGGAGATGGGTGATCAGCCTGGTACCAGGAACTGAGGACCTTTGGGTTAATAGGAAGTCCTCCAAAGGGCCTCAGTAGAACACAATAGGTTGGAATAACAGCACCATTTGCTCGCATGGGAGTTGAACTGAGTGTTAAGTGTGAAATCAGACGAATACAATGAAGAGAAAAATGCAAAGTCAGCTGTTTTGTGAAATCAGGTCACACACAAAAACACTGCACACCCCCCTCTTTCTCTCTCACTCACACAGAGAGACAGACAGTGCAGTCCTACCTGTGTGAAGTAGAGGTTCAGTAGGCAGAGTGTGAAGAACTGCAGGCAGACGGGGCAGCAGTAGAGCAGCCAGTAGGCCAGAGGCTGCAGCTGGTTGGCCTGCACCACATTTTTAAAGTAGAAAGAGAAGAGGGTCGTCCTCAGCGCTGCCCACAGCAGACACAGAAACAAAAACACGCTCTGGTAGCTGAAGCGCTTGTGTCCGTAGTGCAAAATGAGCCAGAGCTGCAGGTACACGAAAACAAACAGGAAAGAGTAGAGGACGGTGTAGATGGTAGTTAGACTGAGCTCCAGTGTTGGGGAGATTGCAGCTCCGTGGGACTCCTTCAGTGAGGTAAACAAATGGGAATTAACCTCCTCTCCTGCCGAAAACATCTCCACTGACGTCTTGCACTAACACATGGGATGATGTGAAAGGCAAAACCACCAAAAGTGGGTCAGACCTGGGCTAAATTCTGCGTGGATGACAAAAAGACGAGGGGGATTCGGGTGAAAAATTGCGATAAAAGCAGTTTATTTTGAAAAGAAGTGGCATAATGAAGCTGCGCTAAGGGGGGTTTTAAATCCGATACTGGGTGGAAGAAGAAAGACTGTCTAGTTTAAATAAAGCGCTAGGTCCGAAATAAGAAGAAACAGAGAAAGAAAACAAGAGAGAGGTCCCCCCCTTGTATCTCTGCAAAGCTCTTCTCTGCAAAAAACAACTTAAGGGGGGAAAAACCTCCAGATCAGCTGTGATGCAGTTTTAGACCCGCCCCCTTGCTCTCAATCAAAACGGAAACTGACTCAGCGTGGGCCGCCATCTTGGCTCAAAACCAGGCCAATTCTCTCAGGAAACAGCTGACTCCGGAGCCACAGACTGGAGCCAGTTTCCTAACTGAATCTCCCAACTGAAAGACGACGCCACGCCCACTCCCGCAGGGCGCCGCTCCATTGGCTGATGCCGCCGCCCAACCTCCACAGCTCTGCCACCCCATTGGTTCATGATGATGTCAGCTGTGGCAGAGCCCGCCCCCTGCGCGCTTGTGATTGGTCGTTTGTTCAAGTCGAAGCTGCTCCCTGATCCTATTGGCTCAAAGAAGCACGTGGGCGTCTCTCGCAGGAAAAAAACGGACACCAAAACAAATTTTGTCGTCATTTACGTCAAGTTAATGAGCGGAAACCGACGTGTGCGGAAACGTGGTGTCGCCTTCAAAATAAAAGTGTAAAATGATGACTAAACGGAACCGCAACTTCTGGGTTCAGAACAACTGTAAAACTGTATTATCACAAACTACAATCTCTTACAGTATCATCTTTGTGTTTTATCGCATTGTGGTGTGGACTACTCAAAAACACGGCAACAAATGTGTCAAATTAGGATTTTATTTTAAAACGATAACCGGAAGTACTGTTTTAACTCGTCTAGCTTGACACGGTTTCGCGAAAATGATGTAGCTTCACTTCTATTAAGACATTTTTCATATTTCACTGTGCAGCTCGGCGGAAAATAACCTTATAAGCTTGCTTTATCTCCAAAGGACATATGCCGACATGTATCTCTTAAATGTACAGCTGTTGGCCATTTAAAGCCGCATCCTTCAGCAGGCAGCTAACAAGCCTAGCCGATGAACCAGCTTTATTTACATTACTTACTACATTTCTGGACTTTCTTCGGGACTTTACAGTCTTGGGGACAAGCTGCTGCTTACAATTAGCGACACAATGTCTTTTTCTGCCCTCACCACGGTTGTAACTGTGGTTTCTAACGTTTGTGCCACTTGGAAAGACAAAAGTTGAACTTTAACCTCACCTCGACTTTCTCAGGTAACAGTCTGCCAGCATCTTTGTTGTCACTGTCTGCTCCTTTCATCACAGCTGTTTACTAGGTCAACAAATAAGATCTGATTATATGTAATACAGTGCAGGTGATATAAAATAGTAGTGATTGTACATATTAACCATTCTTTCATCCAGAAAGCATCATTTTCATCATGTTTGTCTTTTAAACATGAGTTCTGCTGTTTATTCCTCTATCCTGATACACATTCTGCATCTCCTGGCTTTACAATAATAGTTTGTTCTCCCACAGAGAGCGCAGCAGCCTGTCCTCCACCATGTGGATGTGTATGGCTGTTCTCCTGCTGTGGATGAGGTCAGGAGGATGCACAGAGAAGGCCAACACATCAGACCTGATTGAATACACCGCTGCAGACTTCTATGAGAAATTGCATTCTGGGAAGATGATGTTTGTCTATTTCGAGCATCAAGGTAGGCTGCTCACTCTGTCGTACAAGTTTGAAAAAAAAGCTATTTCTTTCCTACATATTCTCTATTAGATTAGATTCAACCTTATTGTCATAGCACAGATTACAAATACTGAGACAACGAAGTATGTGAGAGCATAAATAGCGCACATAAGTGTGCAGTAGTGACTGGGAGCCAGCAGCCGGTGAGGCAGACCTAGTGCAAGAGACAGTCATTAGGGAAAATAAAAGTATATTTGTGACAATGCAGGACATTTGGATTTGCGTCTCAGGTGTATCAAGTAGTTTTTAAACACATGAAGAGGCAACCTTTAACAACAGCAGCACATAGCATATAAAACATAGAACGTACTAAATCATTGACTGTAGTATTAAAATAGATAAAATATGAAGAGAATAATCAAATATCAAACAGATGTGATCAGAAGAATGATGTAATATCACCTCGCTAACATATTAATAGTTGGGATGGTAGTTTTCTTCCAATATGCCTGAGCTCAAGGTCCACCTGTAGTTTGACGATTGATGAGCCGAGGATGATTAGTAAAGGTTATAGATAAGAACTAATAACTAAAATGACTGGCATCCTCACGCAGGAGGATCTGGATAGATTTAGTGTCGTTTTATTTAGGAATAGTGGGGTCTGTGTGGTATCTTGAATAGAATTTAAAAGTCTATAACGTGATTTGAGGTTGTGTGTATGCTCACTCTCTTATATCAGGAATCAGAGGCACGACTGAAGGTACCTCTTGATAGAGACAGCCTCCAGCTGACAACAGTAGATAGTATAATAACATACCATGCAAAGTTCCAGTTTCAAATCAATTTGTCCTTCATCCTCTCCGCATCAGTCTTTTGCTGTCATGTCAGCAATGATCCAGCCACTTGTCAAGGTGCAACCCAGCAGATAGCAGCGAACTTCATGGAGTATTTTAAAGCCTTTTAACACACTAATCGAGGATGACAGTATTTCTCTCTCTCTCTCTCTGTGTGTGTTCAGTCTCTCCAACCATCTCTCTCTTCTTGGTGGAGTTGGAGAAGTCTGCTGACGCTCTGCAGGATTATGGGGTTCTGGTTGGCAAGGTAACTATAGCCTCCTCAGTGTTATGTGCTCCATCTTAGAAGTTGACATTAAAGCTGAATTTTTTATGAACTTGAAGATGTGGACACGGACACCAGGAAGTGAATTGATGGTAGTTCAGTACCTTTTTTTTTTTTATTGTTTCTGTTCAGGTCAACTGCAATAAAGAGCTGGTTCGCACATACTGCGCAGAAGAAAGGGTGCTGCACACAGCTTTTCTGTTCAGGTACGTTGTGTGGACTACAAAGTACAGTAGTAATGTGAGCTGTTGATTGTATTTGTCACAATAAACAAAGAGGACATACAAGTATTTGGTGTTTTATTTAATCTCTCTCTGACTCTGCCTGTGTCTGTCTGTTAGAGGTGGTAAAGAGTTCTTGGGTTTTGATTTGGACACCGTGTTTGACGTCAACTCCATAGTCTCTGAAGTCCTGTTGTAAGTAAACAACACTCCCTCAGTTATAAGGCAGCAGAGCCGTGTGAGGCTTTAACCTTCAGTCCTAATTGGTCTCTAAAGCACACAATACACACAATCAATTCCCTAGTATGGACACAAACACTCTGGTCCTATTTCAGAGTACATTTGTTACATAAGCTTATTTGTGGAATAAATAACCACAAACTGACCAGACAAACAGTTTATTTAGTCTCTCTGTCTTTGTCTTCCAGTGCCATTCTGCGTGAAGAGGTCAAGTACGTCCACACAGATGCCGACCTGCTGGCCATGGAGAAGGCAGCCAGAGGGAAGAAGGATATTGTGCTGGGTTACGTCCGCAGTCTGGGAACACAAGGTCTGTAAAAGGAGGAGAGGATGGATGTACGGAGGCAGCACAAGATGAAGAAAGTGAGAGTAAAACTGATTGTTTGCTGGTGCAGCGATGGAGATGATCTGGCTGATGAATTGAAAGACTGAGTGACTGACTCATGGATTATACTGTTAGGTGTCTCCTGATGGAGACACAGATTGTCTGATTGATTGATTGACTTGAATAATCCAATTAATTGTGTTGTTTCTGCTGATTGTATTACTCAAGAGCACAGATCGATGATGGAGACGGCGTATGTGTATGGATCCAAATACCAGTTCATCCTCATAACTGGAGGCCCAGTCCTGAAGCACTTAGGGTAGGTTCTTCATCTTTGTACCTTCATATCATCAGATCAGAGAGATATTTCTGGGTGTCTGTCTCTCAGGTTTAAATTAAGTAATACTTAAAGAATACATGGGGAGAATTAGTAGGGGGCTAAAGTCATGGGTCAGAGTTGTTTATAAAGATATGAGCTCAAATTGTGATAAACATCTTCTGAGAACTTTTTACTTGGAAAGTTGTATTTACTGTCTCTCCCTGTCCGTCTGTCTTTCAGTGTTAGCGAGTTGTCTCACTCGTCTCAGGTGTGGTTCCTCCACTGTAGAGTTCACAGTGGGTTCATGACCGCGATTACCTCTGAGCGCTGCCCTTTGACCCGCATGAGGAAACCCCTGTCCACCCTCAGCCTGCACTCCTTCCTGCAGCTCATGGAGGCTCCACTAGTGGTCAGTAAGACGGAAATATAGAGCCGCTGTGGAAGACTGTATACTTGTGCAAAGATTTCTTTATCTATTGTCGCCACTTGCACATGTCTACAAGTTATGATCAGTTCAAATAATGATTTTTTTAAATGTTCCATTAATTAATTCCATTGAAACTTTAGACACTTTAAATCCAAATTGAACACATTTTTGTCTAATTTTGAAGTCATAAAAATGATCTCAAAGGCAAAAGTGAATATGATGTATTGATTTCTACATAATGTTATGTGTCTCTCCACTGCTAGACTGAAGTTTATGACGACCCCTCCTCAGTCCAGTCCCCCCAGTTCCCCTACCAGCAGACCCCCCAGGTCTTCCTGTTTTCTCGTCCAGCAACCGAACACCTGGACCTGGACACGGCCATCACTCTGGCCTGGAGGCTGCGGGGCCTCGCCCTGCTGCTGCTCGTACACAGGTACACTGTGGTGGGGAATTGTTTTTGTTTTTAATTTACCCGCTTTATTGAGACGTAACACATATGCTGTATTTTTCCTGTAACATAGAATTCCTAATTAATAATCTTGTTATCGCTTTTTAATTTTATTATGTTCTGCATGTGTTGTATTTGTATTTAGTCCTATTTCATCCTAAACATTTCGTCCTGTGTTTTCTGGTTTTGTATTCTCTTTTTTCCCAGCTTTCAATTTATCAAAATACATTATTATTGTCTCACAGATGTGTGTGTGTGTGTGTGTGTGTGTGTGTGTGTTGTCAGGCAGAGTCCTGCAGTGAAAACCCCCGATGAATATAACGCTGCGTACAGGCTGCCTGAGAAGGTATGATGGTCACATACAAAATAAGATTACTCGCCTTTTTTTACCCATGTGTGTTTTACCTTATTTGTGTGTGTGTGTGTGTCCTTTGAGAGTTCAGAGGTGAAGTATTTGACCTTACATGACCTTGATGAGGTGTTGGAGCTCTTCACAAATCAAGAGAAAGAGGAGGAGGGCGACGAAGAGGAGGAGGAGGATGAGGACGAGGGGCTGGAGGACGAAGAAGAGGATTCACATTTTGGTAAGTGATGTAAAATGAAGAGGGAGGGAGAAAGTAAGAGTATATCTGTGTGTGTTTATACGTTTGTGTGTTTGCCTCCAGGGAATTTGGACGATGAAATTTCAATGTCTGTCTACGAAAACAGAGGCAACCTGCTGGACATGGACTTAATTACCCAGCTAACCTCTGACAACTTCCACGCCACAGTGGCTCAAAGCAGCCTGACAGCGGCGCTCTTCTACCTCAAATGTAAGACACACTCTCCCTACTGTCCTGTTAAGGATGGGAAGCAAATGAATATGAATGAAAAGTTAAAACAAGTGTGGATGGAATTAATTGTAGTTTCTGTTTTCACCACCAGGGGATGCTGTTTCTATGGCTTTTCTCAGCTCCTTCATTGAAGTTGCAGAGAGACTTGAAGGTGAGAGCACAACATGAACAGTCCTTAAGGCAGCGGGGTTCAAAGTCTGACACTGTGGGCCCCCCCCAGACAACATGGAGACACATGCAACCCCCCCTCAAGCACATTTTTAAATTGTTGACCTTTTTATCTTTATATTAGGGAAAATATCTGTTTATGAATGGATAGAGGAGAATGCTTAAAGTTTTGGAACTACAATTCCCATAGTTTTGGGGGATGTAAACAGGAAGTATAGTGTTTCCATGCAGTCAGTTAGTTCTATTAATAAATGTCTTCAGATTCGAAGGTCCAGATGAGTGCGGTCGACTGTGGAGAGTGGACCGACCTCTGTGCGGCTCTACCTGGCAGCTCCGTCCCGATCCCGTTCGAGCCAATCACGGCCTTCCCCAGCGTCTTGCTGCTCCGCCCCCAGGAGTCGGCCCAGCACTACAGAGGCATGCTGGGTACTGAGGCGCTGCATCGCTTTATTATACTGTGAGAAGTTTTTTAAGAATCCACAGACATGATTGTGTGAAATTATATTATATAACATTGGTATATATTAGATCATCAGGGGCCCTGGGCAAACAAAAGTAACAAACTAGGATGTTGAGTTGGAAAGATGTGAGCATCTACGAAGACAGGAAGGGGTCTAATGAAAGATGCTATCAAGTTGCATCATGGGAAAAGTGGGATCCAGTGTTGTAATACATGTAATACATATTCAGGTCCTTCTTAAATCTCTATATATGATAAAGAAGGTCAAGGAAAGACAAAATAAACTCAAATGAGAAATATAATGGTTCCTGAGAACTGCAATCAATGTCAGTGTTCCTGAGAACTGCAATCAATGTCAGTGTTTTACAGGAAAAGCTTCAACAAATAAAAAACCATGACTGTATCAGAATGATGCAAAGAAAATAAGATGAGACAGATGAGATTCGTCAGAAAACAGTGTTTGCATTACTTGCTTGAGGGCGGTCTACTCATGTCTATTCATTTTAACCATTAGATCTGACCGTAACCTTTGATAGGCCGCTATTTATCTTCACTACCTCAAATAAACACAGAGGAAACACACTCGTATATGAGCTCGACCACATGTTATCAGCCAGTCATAATAATGTCGGGGAGGTTTTACAAATATATTTCCTCTCTGTAGGAGTCTTGGAGTCATTGCTTGTACTGATGTGCAGTCATGTTTTCTTTCACTCAGGAGATTTTCCACAGGAAAGGTTTTGATGTCCTGTAATCAGCCGGACACTTCGATCCATGCTTTTATTTCATCATGACGTGATTGAAGAGCATCTCCTGGGAGCAGAATAAGACCAATCAGACCAAAATGTTTCTTTCTCTTGCAGTAACTATAGTCCTGAGCTTTTAACCTCCACTAGGTCTTCCACACAGTACAGGCCTAACACTGTATTTCTTTATTGTTAAATGAGTATGAATAAAGCTCATTATTGACCTGTTAAATTAAGGAGAAGTCTTAAAGAGCAGAGTGATCACAAAGCATTTCCATCGCGTTCATGGAAAGTATGCCGTCTATCTGTCTATGTCCACCTGTAAATGCTCATTTGACGGTTGTTGTTGTTGTTGTTGTTGTTGTTGTTGTTTTTAACCAGGAGCCTCCCAGCTTCTCCTGTGCTCCTGTCCACCGAAGAGGAAGTGACATCTTTTCTTCAGAAAGTGCCTCAACCCGAGCTAGCCAGCTACAAACCTGACAGAGTGCTGGGACTGTTTAAGACACAAACACACGCAGGTAGGAGGCTGTAAATGTGTTTGTTGCTGTTGTTTTGTTTATGTTGATGGTGATGCCTCAGTAGCTGAAATAAAAAATAGGACTTTATTCACTTTTAATTAGCCAAAAGGTTGAGATAAATTATGTCCCTAAAACTAAGCTGGTGTTATTGTGTATTTTCCTTATTGTCAGGTAAACAGGTCACAAATATGTACTTTTATGTTTTAAAAGGCTCATTCATTTCCTCAAACAGCTGGGCTCTGTAGTTGTCAACCAATGCTACTCAAATAGGAGTTAACAGTGTGTTTGTTGGAGACTATTTTCAGCTGCGGATTAATACACATTTGGAGTGTTAACAGGAGTTCAGGCTAAAAAAAAATCCCTACCTTAAAACAACATAACAATGTGTTGTGTTTGTGGAGTCACAGATGTGAGTCTGCACAGCAGTTTTCTACACTGGCAGCTATTTACTATCAGAGGGTAAACATGGAAATGTGGCATTCAGGTTATGAAGAAATCTACCAAAAATGCATGTTTGTACACATTTGATTTACCCCCGCTGTGCCTCGCTGAATAACGGCGGTTGTGCTCCAGCAGAAGATGACCCAGGTTCAACTTTTTGTTTTCCCTTCTGTGTTGGCACCCCCACTGTGTCGACCATCTGTCTCTATTCACACGGCGCTAAATACGATCTGAACTCAGTCTTAGTGAGGATCTGTGGCAGGGGTACGATGTTTGCGTCAAAATAAACTACAGTGCGTGTGTGTTCATGGTAATGAAGGAACATGTCCGCCAGTGCATCAGTGTGACTCATGGATGTGTTTTTAAAGTGGAGGAATAAGAACAATGGAATAAGAACAGAGGAATAAGATAGATCCACACGCAATACTCTCTGTACAAACCATTGATATCACATGATGAAGTGCTGTTTCTCTGTGTTGCCAGGTGTATCACTGTTTACTGAAGCAGCAAAGTCACTGAGAGGAGAGGTGCTGACTGGGCTGCTGACAGATGGGCTGGCAGAGCAATGGTAACGGCTTTAAATTCAGTCTCGTCATTCTTGTTTTAAGGTCGTTTGTTCCTTTGTTTGTTTGTCTTTAAATATTTATTTTAAGTTTCATGTTTGCTGTGCAGGGCATCAGGACACACTGTGGATCTTCCTGCAGTGTTTGTGTTTCCATCTTGGAGGACGCACACTCATCCCTCCACCCTGTCTGTATCCACTTCTGCTGAAGAGCTGCTCTCACACATCAACACTGCACTGCTGCATCCACTGGTAAAGCCCAACCATGTTCTGTGTTATAAAGTCATGTTTACATTGAGAAATACAAAACCAGATGATGAAAATGATTTTACTACACTATAGGAATTCAAACTAAATGAATGCTGCCAAAAGTCTCTCAGCCCACATTGTGAGCCTACAGTGGGGCAAAAAAGTATTTAGTCAGCCACCAATTGTGCAAGTTCTCCCACTTAAAAAGATGAGAGAG